GATTGATTGATTGATTGATTGATTGATTGATAGATAGAGACAAAACTACCAGAGAGATAAATAGAATACGAGAATGATATGTATATTAGACTAATAGAATAAATAGATAGATGGATGGATGGATAGATAGATTAAATAAAAGAATGATAGATTGATAGAAAAACAGAACTGACAGATAGAATGATAGACAGAAGAATAGATAGAACAAACGATAGATAGAACTATATGTGGACAGAACAACAGCTAGATAGAATGATAGACAGAACAGATAAAGCGATGGATGGATGGATGGATGGATGGATGGATGGATGCTTGGTTGATCATTCTGCTCACCTATCATGTCTTTTGTCTTCTTGAAATGTTTGTACCAGCGTCCAAACTCTTGACACTTGGCCGCAGACACATTTGCATAGTAAGTGCTGTTAACAATTGAAGAAATCATACTCTGCAAGACAAAACGTGAAGCCGTTTAAAACACACATTCACACACAGTCCAACAACAAAGCCTGACTAAACATTCCGTACTTCTCGCAGTGCAATATTAGCTATTTACTCTAGTATAGTGTCATAACTTGATCGAGAGAGAGAGAGAGCAAAAGAAGTGATTCATGCACATTTGTTTCTGCAGTAATGAACTAAATACACGTCCCTTTAACAAATGCCACAGAGTATGAAAGAGGATGCGTGCAGGAGGATCTGTGAGGCAGAGAGCAAAGCAGATGATGCTTTGGGGAATTCTGCCCTATATGAATGCAACTCATATTCGCAATCTGTTTTCACAGCCGGAGTTGCATGTTGAGACCACACAACGAGTTCACGTCTCCTCGCTGCCCTAACAGCACGTTTCCTATTCATCTCTGCTTCTTTTTTCCCTCTATTTTAATACTATTCCACTCCAAAAAAAAAAAAAAAAGCTGAGATTCTTTTTCATTAAACCTAACACTTAACACCTTAATAGCCCTGGGCTACATAGCGCAGAAATTGTTTTTATTGTTATAAATATTCAAAAGATGAAACCATCTGTTTTTAAATTACAGGTACGGCAGCTTTATCATTTTTATAACATGAGCACTTGGGGACTTGGGGGGTTGGAAGGAGGGGGGTGGTGGTGATTGTGGCTTACAATAGAAGAACTGATCATCTCCAAGTCTGGAGATCTCCGCCTCTCAGAAATCAAGACTCTTCAATGACAGTTGTGCATCTCTTATCAAGAACTGCTTACTATCTGAAGGGCTCTTCGTGGGACTTTAAGATGCTTTGGAGGTTTGGTTTTGATGCTACTTTATAAGAACTTAAATCGGTTCTCGTCTGATGTCATATAGAGCTTTAAAATGCTCTATATTGTGTGCAAAATTACAATTGTACTTGTGTGATTTGATCTAAAAAATAGGTGTAGAATAATACTTAAAAAGGCTGTTTTGTTGCATCTATGGAAATCTTGTCTTTGAGTAATATGATATGGAGATCAAATAATTGCTCTCTGACATCATACGCAATTTTAAAATGCTATTTAATCACATTATGTGGAAGTTGAAAAAATAACGCGTCCTTATGATGTATGGAAATTAAAATTTTCTTTTGGCGATTTAATTATGTCACCATACAGAATGTTGTAATTTGTGTTTATTTCAAGAGTTCACACTTAGCTGATGATTGATTATAAAGCTTGCGTGCTTTATAGCTGAGCTCATAAGTTACTCGAGCTCGTGGCTCCCTCCCATTTGCAGGGGAGTTTGAGCTCAGGTAGATCTGGAGAACTCCCCTGCTGTAGTAGCTAATAAACAGATAGGGATTACTCTTAAGAGATAACTATTTACTAGGAGCAGGTCTATGTCGATTTGGATTAGTCAATTAACTTAAGTTGCATGTTTTTGGAAGGTCGGAGGAAACTGGGGGGCCCAAGGTCAACCCACGTGAGAACGTGTAAACTCCGCACAGAAACATCAACTGGCTTGGTAAGGATTAGAACCACAGACGTTCTTGCTGTGAGGCAGCAGTGATAACCACTGGGCCACCGTGTCACCCTCCTAGGAAAGGAGGAGGAGTAGGGGTGGAATCTTCAAAACAAAGATGACTGTGGCATGGAAACTAGGGTATGTATAGTGGCTTAGGAATCGTCTGATTGGGGAGTCATCAATTGGATAGTACGGGCAATCATACGCACGTGTTCCTCTCGAAATTAGTTTATAAATAAACTTCACTTATTTATTTTTTAAATGGATCTTGAAAATGCTTGCATACGGAATGATACAATTTCAATCGTTTTCGATGACATTGTTTCAATTCCATGACATCATATGAAACTTTTACAGCTCTTCTATGACATTCTACGGAATTAATGACAGTGGATAATACAAATTACTGCATGACATCATCAACTGAACGTAAATATTCAAACTTGCTTTTAGCTCCATGTGATGCTAGGAGCATATCAAGTTTAATTCCGTTAGGTTCTCTAATGCTGCGTTCACACCAGACAAGTCACACACAAATAAATCACGTGTAAATAGAAGAGTGAACATTTTGACTTAACTCGCTTAATCAAATTCACTTCATTCATACGTCAAATTCACAATAGACGTGAATTTGCATTATTGGCAGGGCTTCTGTTTGCCTGGTGACTCTAGCTTTGTTGCTAAATGGCTAACATGGATTTTATTGAGAGATTAGCTGTGTTTATGTGCTTCAGGACGGCTGAAAAACAGCGCTTTTTCGTTCGGCACCGTGTCCGAGTCCACTAGATCATTTCAGAGGTGCACCCAGCTTTGTGGGTTCACCAAGTCCTCCACAAGCTATGCCCAGATGATAGAGGCTTTTAGCGGTGCTACAGACTGAGTCGAGCCTAGTTTGATGAGCTGATGTCCAGTGTCAGCAAGAGAATTTCCCCTCAAAACACCTACAACAGGTGCTACGTCATAATCATGCACTTACAAGTGCAAGCGATTGGTTAAGGCAGCATGAATGTCTGCTAAAGTTCAGATTTTCCAACTAACGAATACATTAAGTGTGTCAAATGCACAAAACGCTTAACTCTTGCCGCACTGTTTGCGTGTATCGCGCAGCAGGATGTACAGTTGAAGTCAGAATTATTAGCCCCCCTGAATTATTAGCCCCCCTGTTTATTTTTCCTTAATTTCTGTTTAAAGGAGAGAAGATTTTTTCAACATTTCTAAGCATAATAGTTTTAATAACTCACCTCTAATCACTGATTTATTTTATCTTTGCCATGATGACAGTAAATAATATTTGACCAGACATTTTTCAAGACACTTCTATACAGCTTAAAGTGACATTTAAAGACTTAACTAGGGTTCTTAGGTTAACTAGGCAGGTTAGGGTAATTAGGCAAGGTATTGTATAATGATGGTTTGTTCTGTAGATAGTCGGGAAAAAATTAGCTTAAAGCGACTAATAATTTTGTCCCTAAAATGGCTTTTAAAAAAATTAAAAACTGCTTTTATTCTAGCCGAAACAAAACAAATAAGACTTTCTCCAGAAGAAAAAATATTGTCAGACATACTGTAAAAATTTCTTTGCTCTGTCAAACATCATTTATGAAATATTTAAAAAATGACAGCAAATAATTCTGACTTCAACTGTAAATCTTTTGCATTTCATGCTTCATCTCTGTCTGGTCTTAACGCACCGTTATGCCACCAGACTGAAAATATGATGGCTTTTCTAAAATATGAAATATTAAAATATGACACTATGCAGAATTGTAAAAATCTTCTGTAATATATGATGGACCTCTTTTCCTTATAGAATAATTAATCTTTCATAGTTTTTATTGTTTGTGCATGACATCATATGGAACTTTAAAAAGCTCCTCAGTGACATTCTATGGAATTATTGACATAAGAAAATTCATCATCAATAACTGAAAAACAAAATGTCACAAAATGTAAAATGTTGTTCAAAATGTAAATATTTAAACTGAAAATTTTAGTTCCATATGATGTCAGGAAGATACCAAGTAGAATTTCAAAACGAAAAAATATTTTAGCTTCCTCCAGCAGAAATCGAAGACCACGCAGAATTTTAAAACTCTTCTGTAACATCATATGCACCTTGACAATGCATCCTTACAGAATATGAATTCATTCCATAGGATGATAAAAATTCTTCCATGCCATCATCAAGTATTTTGGTACAGTTTGGTAATTCTATAGAATGGACATTCTATAGAATTGTTTACATAGTGCTATTCAATTTCTTGCATGACGTCAAGAATCAACACAATGTCCTAAAATTTGGCCCAAATTATTTAAGCTGAACATTTTAGTTACAATGTCAGGAGCAGACCAAGTAAAACTCCAAAGGGGTCTCCAAAGCCATCAGGCTGAAAAAACTATTTCAAAAGCTTTTTCGAAGCATGCTTTAAACAAACTGGAGCAGAGTTCAGCAGGACCAGCCAGACGAGGGTTAACCGCTCACTAAACTACACACGCTGGAGAAGGACTATTAACCTTTACTGCTGCAGAAATGAAAAACTCTACAGCAGCATCCAAGATGAGCAGAAGACCCTCTCCAAAAAGCCGGAGCGCGATTACGAAAGCACACCGCCATGCTGATAGAAGGCCAGCCAGCGTTTTAAATGTCACGGCCTCTTTTATCGCTGATCTGAAACAACAGTCAGTGGTGGAAGACAGCTAACAAACCAAACCAAACATAATAATTTAAATCGACAGCTAACAACAGAAGAGGAAGAAAATCACACATGATTTCATAAGTCATGGAGGATCTGTTTGAGATGTCATATGAGTCAACCTTTGGTAGGATTTGACACAGATGCTGTACCAAAAAAAAGCTCATTCATTTCGTTTCCCCAACCTCAAACCACACGGCCAACCCAACGGCAGGAGTCATCAACAGGTAATAGGACAAGGCTCTTTAAAAGATAACCATCGGCAGGCCTTATCGGGGCGCCCAGGAAGTCTGTCACGCTGCTATCGACCCGACTCATCTATTTGACTTTCCGTCACGGGAGATTCGCATATAAAAACGCTCAGGCGCTCAGTGTTTGTACTTCCTCCTTACGTGCCATCTTTAGTTTCCCTGTGGAGAGACTGTTCGCATTGTGATGGCGAGGTGGCTTAATTCCCCCTCCTTTACATCTTTTTTGGTCTCATTTTATCTCTTTTTGGGGGGAATTTCATGTAAAAGAGGGGAAGGAGCATATCAGATCTTAGTGAAGTATGCAAATATGGCATTTGGTGGTTTTTCTATATTATAATATGCAGGTTAAAGTAAACGTCTATGACATTATATACACTTAAATTGACTTACTAATGGAAAAAAAAGAAAATATAGTCTTTCTATACTTTTTATAGTTCAAAAGTTTAATAATTTAAATGACATTTTAAAGGTTCAAGACTTATTTTAATGGTCCGCTTGTTGAATTTAAGTTACATTGCATCTGCATGTCAACTAGTTCTCATTATA